GAATATTTTCATATACTTAGGGCCTCCTATTACATTGCGCTACAGGACAGTGTTGCTCAACCTATGTGTCGTGAGCCAAGGCTGGGTCGCCTGAAAATTCTTCTGGCTCGCTTGTTTTTTTGACAAGAACCAATTTTAATATATTTTGTATTTGGTATTGAAGTGTTGCACAATGTAATTGTATATGGTGGAAGTATTACAGCGAAAAAACTTTGAAGCGTCTATTTTACATAAGTAAAGCCATGATTCAAAAAAATCGCTGATGGCAAACAAATAATAATGAAATGTATAATACGGAAATAAATGTTGAGTAAAATCACTGTTTTGCATTAGTGACGTTTAGTATCCGGCCGTATCCCTGGTTTGTGAGATTTTTAATTTTTTACAAAATTTGCCATAGGCGGGAAATCTCATTCTATTATTGATAGCCCGTTGCTAATTTACACTGTGCAATCTTTTAACTTTCAACTTACTATGCTATCTAGTTAATCAATTGTACTATTTCTATTTTATTACAGCAAGATGTAAGTACAGTTTTACTGATATTCTGCTATATCAAAATTACCAATTTGCTCTGATGAAAAATGCGACTCAGATAGATTTTTTCAACATTCATTGTAGTACATTATTTAGCTCAGGGTGGTCCAAGGTTGTCGACGTCGAGGGCCACAATATTAATTTTGTGCTGTTCGCGGGCCACATTATTCTCAAGATTATTTTCCCTATAAGGAATTTATTGATACCTTATATTGGCCCTCACAGATGTATATAGGTAAAAATACTTAAATAATTACTGATTAAAAATAAACAAACCTGGTAAAGATATATTGACTCTGATATATATTGACTTTGTAACAAAAGTGAACTTCATGGACACCCCGTATAATATACATGATAAAAAAATCTGCATATAAAATTAGAGGTTCCATTACCGCTTATTGTTTCGCGTTAGGCAACCACATGTCATGGACTATGGTTACTTGTGATTCCAAATTCTATCTTCAAACACTCAAACTAGTATACTAAAGTTATTGATGGATGAATGCGCGTGAAACGCAAAACTCACCAGTAGATTTTGAATATCTTATGTCCATTGAATATTTTCATATACTTAGGGCCTCCCATATTACATTGTGCTACAGGCCAGTGTTGCCCAACCTATGGGTCGCGAGCCAAGGCTGGGTCGCCTGAAAATTCTTTTGGTTCGCTGGTTTTTCCAACAAGAACCAATTTTAATATATTCCATATTTGGTATTGAAGTGTTGCACAATGTAATTGTATATGGGGGAAGTATTGCAGCGTAAAAACTTTGAAGCGTCTATTTTACATGAGTAAAGCCATGATTCAAAAAAATCGCTGATGGCAAACATACAATAATGAAATGTATAATACGGAAATAAATGTTGAGTAAAAATTACTGTTTTGCATTAGTGACGTTTAGTATCCGAGCGTATCCCTGGTTCGTGAGATTTTTAATTTTTTACAAAATTTGCTACAGGCGGGCAATCTCATTCTATTATTGATAGCCCGTTGCTAATTTACACTGCAATATTTTAACTTCTAATTTACAATGCTGTCTAGTTAATCAATTGTACTATTTCTATTTTATTACAGGGGCAAGTGAGTACAGTTTTACTGATATTCTGCTATTTCAAAATTACCAATTTGCTCTGATGAAAAATGCGACTCAGATAGATTTTTTCAACATTCATTGTAGTACATTATTTAGCTCAGGGTGGTCCAAGGTTGTCGACGTCGAGGGCCACAATATTACTTTTGTGCTGTTTGCGGGCCACATTATTCTCAAGATTATTTTATTATTAATCAATGTTTTAATAACAACAATTATGTTGGTTCATTAAATTCTTTGATTGACATTTAATGTTACGTCTCCCGGCCTGTTCCGTCTATTAGATTTCAAACATTTCACAACGAAAAAAGTGGTTTCATAAATGAAGCGCTCCCACACATCGATAACATGTCCTTTTACATTATTTTCTTTATTACTGACACAACTTGCTGACATACCAAGCATTGTTTGTTTTTTCTCAAGCAAGTACTTTTTTTCTCATATCGAATTAAAATTATGTTTGAATTGGTCAGATTTCCTTTCGAACTCACGTTTACAAAGCGACTTACAAATCACTGCAGATTGATCGATTAATAAATTTCGGCAATTGTGAAGAAGGCTACAGCAGGATAATATCGCGACATAACTTGATATTTACTAAATTTTCTGACAAATAGGCACCACTTTTAGTGTTTCTGTACACGGTGATTACAAAAAGACAATTGGGTAGGGAATATAATGCTAGGCTGATATTAGTTTTCTATGTAGATTATTGAGATATTGTTAACGAATTTGCCTGGAGGAGGAGACTTTAAAACAGTTTAGGCTGGCCAAACACGGTATTCGATTACCCTATCGAAACGATACAGCGGGCCACCAGTCTGGGTTAGGATCATCCTGATCTAGTAAATAAAATACACTATATTATGTCTATTCCTATATTGTTGTGTAATGCAATCGAATTCAATGAATTATGCTTCGATGCTAATAAAGCTCCGTTTTGTCCTTTTCAAACACTCAATATAGTACATTATTTTGTTATTCAATTATACTATTTCTATTTTATATTACAGGGGATGGTGAGTACAGTTTGACTAATATTTTGCTATTTCAAAAGTATTAATTTATTCTACCTGTAATTCTGTTTTCAAGAATTGAGCATCTTATCGAAACCAAATTCTCCGTTTATGCTTCCGTCATCAAACCTTTTAAGATGACATTTCCACTGTGATCGTGAAATAATTTATGAAAACATTTCAGTCAAGACTTGTAAATATTTTTCTTATTGCTAGAAAGATTCAGATACTCCTGTTTTACCATTGAAAGCTATTAAGTAAAAAGTTCATTTATTGCTATATTTTTGTTAAATAATATGAGATCACGAGAGGGTAACCAGCTCTTTTATGAATGTGTCCAGAGTAGAGTGTCCATATAGGAAATTTATTGATACCTTATATTGGCCCTCACAGATGTATACAAGGTAAAAATACTTAAATAATTACTGATTAAAAGTAAACAAACCTGGTAAAGATATATTGACTTTGTAACAAAAATGAACTCCATGGACACCCCGTATAATATACATGATAAAAAAATCTGCATATAAATTAACAATTATTGAATAAAAAACAACAAACCTGGTTAAGATTTATTGATAACTGACTTCGTAACAAACAAAATAACATATATGATAGAAAATATGGATATAAAATTAGTGGCTCCATTACCGTTTATTGCTTTAGGTTAGGCAACCACATGCCAAGAACAATGGGTACTTGCGATTTCAAATTCTATTTTTAAACACTCAATCTAGTATACCAGAGTTATTCAGGAATGAATTCGTAAAGCGCAGGAGTCACCAGTAGACACCGAAAATCTTATGCCCATTGAATATCTTCATATACTTGGGGCCTCCTATTATATGTCGCTATAAGCCAGTGTTTCCCAACATATGGGTTGCGACCTAAATCTGGGTCACCTGGAAATTCTTTTGGCTCGCTTGTTTTTTCAACAAAAACCTAAATATTGGTTTTATTTTTTAGTCAGATTTTATTTATTTTGCATTTGATATTGAAGTGTTGCTCAATTGTATATGTGGGGAGTATTGCAGCGTAAACTGTGAAGCGTTTGTTTTGCATAAGTTAATCCATGGTTTAAAAAAATCGCTTAATGCAAACAAGGAATAATGAAATAAAAAAATATAATAAGGAAATAAATGTTTAGTAAAAATTACTCTATTGTAATAAAAATTACTGTTTTGCATTAGTGCCATTTAGTCTATGCTATCTAGTTAATCAACTAGATATCAGTTCTACTAATTCTCTGCTATTTCAAAATTCCCAATTTATTCTTCTGTGTGTATTTACAATTTTCATATTTTTCCTTGATAAACAAAGTCAGTTACGGCTTTCCATTCGAACTAGAAACAAAAATAACTTAAAATTCCAATGACTATATTCATTCCTAGAATGGCATTCCCGGAAAATAATCTGATAAAAGCATTAATTTTATTCTTTAAATCACATTCACATCGCAGAATTCTGTTACTCTTACAGAATAGTAGTTAATATTAGTGATTTATAATGTGAGCGCAAACAACTCCTTCGAATGTTTAGTTACTTATCACATCATCATTCACATAACACAGCATTCCTTATTTCTTTTGTATTTGTTATTTACAGCATTCCGTAAGTAAAATTATTTGAATCTTCAATTTTTTTTTATTCAAATTTGAGAATTGCACAAAATAATAATACGATTTAAAAAAAAATTATGTTTTCATCTGAACAAAATCCAAACAAAATGAGTAGGCGAATTGGCTATTTAGTAATGTTGATATTTGAGTATAATTACTTTTCAACCTATATCAAAATGAGCAAAATTAGTTCAAAATTCCCAAGAATATATTTTTTATAGAATGGCGTTCCGTGGAAATAATTTAATACAAGTATTAAAACAATTTCTTATTCCCATTATTTTACGAAGCATTTACTTTCCATTACATTAATGAAAAATAATACACGTGACATAATTCTGGGTCACCTGCTAAATTATAATAGTTCAAACATATATATATAGAATCATTTTGTAATTAAGCTTCATTTTTTGGCATACGTTAATTACTTCATAAATACTTTGTTGCTCAGAGAGAATGTACCTCGAAACTTCAATCGGCAAGCGCTCAGAAAGCCCGCACGAAGAAATTGTGAAAGGTACCATGAACGTTATCTGTACAAACTCCTTTTTTGCTTTATGCTTAGACTGGACACCAATTTTATTTAAACATGCTTGAACTTCATGTCGACTCACATGTCTAATCTATGAAGTTATTCAATTTAGCTTTAATGCACAAAAAACATTCCACTTTAACTTGACTACTAACCTTCCTTAATATTTATTATCTTAATATTTCTGTTTCTCTTACACAGGAGATTTTGACGGAATTTCAAAGAGAAAAAGAGAAAACATGAGAAGGAATAAAGGAAACAAGAAAGGTGATAAACTTTAGTCTAAAAAGTCTACCCGGCAAATAGGACGATGTCTATCTTAGCACTAAAAAGAGGATTTTTCCATATAGCCATCCAATAAGACGGGGTAGAAAAATTGCTTTTCTGTTAGTCAGTTAAACACTACTATGCAATAATAATTTTTTATGGCTAGAACCAGATCATATTTATTTGGTAGAATCATACTCACAGAATTAGTTATTCTTTAACAATAAAGCGGTAACTTTAAGTTAAAAAGCTGCAATCATTTTGAACAACCAATTAACCCGAACGTTGAAATAACCTCTGAATACAGTGTGATAAGTACTACACTGTACGTCCATGGGTTTGTTAACAGCTGTGTTTTCATGACTGTGTTGTTTCGGAAAACGGAAGGGTGATAATCACTTTATCTCGGTGGCCGTGTTTCTCTTTGAAGTACCGATAACGGGCGGTCGTAAATAGAAAGGGGTTCATGACACCGGCAAGTTATGATTACACGGGAGTTTCTGAAAAGAATATGACAAATAACAGATGCCATTACAAAGTCAATGAAATGTCAGGATTGACAGATCCTCTGGTCTTCGAGTACATAACAAAATATATCAAACCAAATATAAGGTTAACACAAATCATGTTTGAGAAGGCTCCTGCGAAAAATAAACGACCGCAGAAAAACAGAATAAGCTTACCTACCCAATAAGACGGCCCCTCAAAAATCCGGTCGAAAAATTAGGTCTAGAAAAGCGACTTATTAGCCGGGAAATACGATACTTTAAAAACAGCTAGAAACACATTTCAGAAGGTATTGAGATTTTTCGTTAGAGATTTATGTTTTTACTTTTCTACAGATAACGAGGATTTGGAAGAAGTCTTTCGAGTGTTGATTCGTCTCATTCCTGATAAATCTGAATGGAAAGCCTTCGTCAAGGATGGATTGAAAATGCCGATGTGGGAAGAAAGTGAGACCAAAGGGGAGAAAATAGAGGATCTCAGGAGATGGAAGCGGGTTAGAGGTAGTACGATGAAATACATTCTAGGGATGGGATGTAGGGGGTTCTGTTTCATACTGGGTATTTTGTTGGTCGGATCCGTACTTGTATCTTTAAATTTGCAGTAGTTTGAAAATAAAATTTTGCACACTCTGACTCAGCTTTGAAAGTTGAACTTTTTCGAGGTCATAGATGAAAATATGCCTGGACGTTCTATAAAAAAGAAATTAAGTTTGACCATTCAATGTGTAACTTTTTTATTGAAAATTATTGTAAGATCCGTATAAAATGCGTGCGATAATATAATTTTTGCTCTTTTCTTTCATCGCCTCTACTAATGATAAAATTATTTTTATTAGGAATGGGAGCAACACCGGACAATTTATGTCTGATTATCCGCGAGCATTTCAAGAATGAATCCAGCATTGTACGAGGTACGTTTATTAACATAGATTATTTTGACTGCGGAAAGCTTTTTCAACTTGAATTTTGTGTAAATGACCTAAACGAAGGGGTAATAATATAATAGCATTTTTTATGCTGTAAAGTGACTTTAGTTTTCTTTAAATAATATCTTTGCCGTGGATTTATATTACTTAAGTACTTCGTTGTTTAAAAACTTGGAAAAGCTAAAAAACGACCTACAAAGCCAGAAATTTGATAATTTAACTTAGCTGTGACCATTCAAGACACAACCAAAATATTGATTGCTGCCGACTACTGCTAATCCTAGCTTCTAAAATGTAGTGGAAATAAAGGAGTTAGAAAATAAATAAATCTTCTAATTTTAAGAGATTGGTGCTTATCATCCAGCGCCGACTCCGGAGCTGTGTCCGTGAAATATTAAAATAACATTCCTAACGAGATTTCCCATTTCTTCAGCACTTACTGGAGTATTTTCTGACGGAATTAACAAGCTTTCAGATAAGATGAACAATATGAGCATCTGTGTCCAAGATAAAACAAGTACGTTTTTACTTTTAAGTAAACAAGCTACGGGTAACGTATGTTTCTTTATTTCCTCCAAATATCAAAAAGGCCATGTAAAGCAATTAAGTACTTATGAACCATTATTACACTTTCTTCACAATTTTTTATATAACCATTATTGATAATTTTGAAATAATCTTTTATTCACTTGGTATTTGATAGTTAAATCATTATTGATGTTAGTACTTAATTGCTTTCAGCCAACTTACAATCAGTGGAAGGACGTACCGTGATAGTTGGTGCTGGAAACGTCCAATATCACTATTATGGCGAATCTAAATAAATCAAATGGATCTGTAGTGTGAGGTTACGCCATCACGAATCGTTCAATCAATTATTTGCTCGCAATTATTCCCATTTTTCAAATCAACTTATATACTCTCCTTTGATTTAATGTTTTTTCCACGTAATTCTTCCTAATCAATAAATATCTTCAAGATAACTATCTATGTCTACTTATTCATGCCAAAACCTCCAAGTCTTCCGTCAATCGGTCTTTATTGGGCGCTCCCGTAGTATATGTACCAAGATGGCGCACAACCTGTTAACCCTAACCTGGTAGTGGTACACACTACACATACTACGGGTGGACCCTTTATTGTATGTGCGATTCCTCTCTAAACATTTCAGTAGCTCTTGGCACTCCAGTGGTTTCCATAACTTCGCTCAGTTTTCCTATGATTCTGAGTGAGTACGCGAGATCTTGCTTTAAGCACATTTTTTCTAATATAAACTCTTATCATTAACAAAATAGGATTTTCAATTGAAGTTTTCAAAACCAAGTTACTGAAGTGTTTGACAAGTGTTTCTTTCGATTCAACTGTATATTGGAGCTTTTATTCTTATCATGTTTGATCAAATATCTTTAATTGTATTCATAATTTTTAAATGAGCGAATAAATTTTTTGCAGTATATGCATCAAGCTTTTGTGTGGTAAAAATATTTCTATCATAATAGAGCGTAATGCAATCAGGTTGATGAGGTTTAATAAAAGTTCGCAAATCCTTAAGTCTAAAATGTTTTGTTCAAGGTATTTGAAATCGTTGGCATTTTCCCTATAGTATGCCACTAGCTGCGTTTTTATTGCCTAAACATTCAATTGCTCACTTATGAGCTGTTTTTGTGTGGTAAAAATATTTCTATCATAATAGAGCGTAATGCAATCAGGTTGATGAGGTTTAATAAAAGTTCGCAAATCCTTAAGTCTAAAATGTTTTGTTCAAGGTATTTGAAATCGTTGGCATTTTCCCTATAGTATGCCACTAGCTGCGTTTTTATTGCCTAAACATTCAATTGCTCACTTATGAGCAGTTTTTGTGTGGTAAAAATATTTCTATCATAATAGAGCGTAATGCAATCAGGTTGATGAGGTTTAATAAAAGTTCGCAAATCCTTAAGTCTAAAATGTTTTGTTCAAGGTATTTGAAATCGTTGGCATTTTCCCTATAGTATGCCACTAGCTGCGTTTTTATTGCCTAAACATTCAATTGCTCACTTATGAGCAGTCAGGCAGCGTGGAGCTCCTGCTTAGCTCTCATGCCATTTCATCGCTATGATTTTCAATTTCAATGCTCCAACCTGTAAATGGGGAATCACTATTTTAGAATGGCCATAGACAATAATAAGATCTAAGTTTGATGCTGTCGATGAGGCTAGGGAATGGGCTAATGGGCTCTCCTACCCAAGGGAGGCCTTATTATAGTGAAACATAAGGCAAAAACGTTGCGATAGCAGGTAATTAGAAAAGAAATACACAAACTCATACTAGGGAGGAGGCCGCTCTTTTTTTTTGAAACTTCTGGAAAGAGCTTTGCGAGGGCCTGTAATGGGTTTGAATGAGCATCCACGAACTCATACGCGGGAGGGGTCATATTCTTGAGAAACGTACTAAGGGATCTTTTAGAGCATCAAGCGTGAGACATACATAAAGTAAAAAAACCTTAATCGTGTGAAACACGTGGAAATATCTTCTAGAGAGCGTGTAGTGTGAAAAAAAATTCACAAATGGGAAAGCCATAATTTTGTGAACTATGCGGAAAGTGGTTTTTAAATATTAGTCATTTGAAAAAGCGTACATAAATTCATACTGTGGAGGGGCTGTATTTCTGTGAAACATTTATAAAGAGCTATTTGAGTCTTACGCGAATTTATAGAAAGGGGTAGCCAAATTCTTGTGAACTATGTGTAAAGAGCTTTTCCAGATCGAGTAATAGGAAAATGCACACACAAACTCATACTGGAGAGAAGCCATATTCTAGTGAAACATGTGGGGACGGTTTTTCGCGTGCAAATCATTTCCAGTGGCATACACAAACTCATATTGTAGAAAGGCCATAATATTGTGCAACATGCGGAAAGAGCTTTGCTATTAGCGTGTAATTTGATTAGACGTAAACGAACATATCCTGTGGAGAAGCCACATGTGGGATTTCAAAAGCCGTACATAAACTCATACAGGGCAGGTCATCAATATTGTAAAAACGTTTGAAAATGCCTCGCTATAGCATGTAATTAAAATAGTAATACACAAGTTAAAAATTGGGAAGAGACAAATTCTTGGAAAAAAATTCGCGATAGCGCGTAATTCGAAAAAGGCATACACAAACTTATACCGAAAGGAGGCTTTATTATGGTGTAACATGAGACAAGGGCTTTGCGATAGCAGGTAAATATAAAAGAAATACACAAACTCATTCTGTGGAAGGGCCCTAATTTTGTAAAACTTTTGGTAAAATCTTTGCGAAAGCGTGTAATTTGAATAGACGTAAACAAACTCATATTCGGGAAAGGCTATATTCTTGAACACGCAAAAAAAACTTCCAGAGAGTGCGTTGTTTGAAAAGACATAGACAAATTCATTGAATGGGAAGGCTATATTCTTGTGAATTATATGGAAAAAAGTTTTCGAGAGCGAGCCGTTTAAAAGCATACCCAAGGGAAGCCGTGTTACGGTGAATCATGAGACTAGAGCTTTGCGATAGCCTGCAATATGAAAATAAATATACAAACTTATACTGGGCACGAGCCCTACTCCTGTGAAACTTCTGGGAAGAACTTTGCGAGAGCGTGTAATATGAATGGACATAAACAAACTCATACTCGGGAAAGGCTATATTCTTGAGAAACACACGGAAAAAACTTTTTGAGAGTGCGTTGTTTGAAACGACATACCCAACTTCATCAAAGGGTGAAGCTATATTCTTCTGAAATATGTGAAAAAAGACACTCCCCAGTATGAGTTTGAGTATTTCATTTCCAATTACACATTATCGTCAATCTCTTCACAAATGTTTTTCAAAAATACGGCCTCTGCACAATATTTGTTTGCGTATACTTTAGAAATGACTTGCTCTCGAAAACATTTTCTACGTTTTGCCATTTTTATTAATTTGTTTGATCTTTTCCATTATAAACGCTACTAAAAAGATCCTCCCAAATGTTTCACAAGAATTTGGCTTTCCCCTTCTTTACATTTGTCAATGCCGCCTGTTCATACTGCATGCTTTGGAAGAGCTCTTTGTACATGTTTCTCTAGAATATGGCCTTTCTTGACTATGAATTTGTTTATGTCTACACAAATTACGCGCTCTCGCGAAGCTCTTTCCAGAAGTTTCACAATAATACGGACCCTACTCAGTATGAGTTGTTGTATTTATTTACAAATTACACTCAGTCACACAGCTCTTGTCTCATGTCATACGATAATTAGGGCTGGGCATTTTCGAATACCTTGTGATTTCAGAATCGAATCGAATAATTTTTTCGAATCGAATACTTGAAAATATATAATTGTAAGCGACTTTATTATAGTAATTGGTCTTCTCAACAAATGAATTACTGAAGACATAGAATGATTCACTCAGATAGATTACTGAGCGTTCACACAGAATAACAAACACGTTTTATCAATAACTCACTACAGAAAATAGTAATATGTTAGAATTCCGTTGAAAAAATATGACTCAAATGAAAAAAAAATTGGGGAATTCACCTCGACCATTAGCAGAAACTCATACTGGAGAGAGGCCGTATTCTTGTGAAACTTCTGGAAAGAGCTTTGCGAGAGCGTGTTTTTTGAAAAGAAATACAGAAACTCATACTAGGGAGAGGTCTTATTCCTGTGAAACTTCTGGAAAGAGCTTTGCGAGAGCGTGTAATATGAATAGAAACAAACTCATACTCGGAAGAGGACATATTCTTGAGAAACATGCGCAAGGGGCTCTTTGAAGTTATGCAAAAAACATACATAATTTTATAGAAAGGGAAAGCCATATTCTTGGTAACTATGTGGAATAGGGATTTCGAAAGGGAGTCTATCGAATAAGCATACACAGACTCATGCTGGGAAGGGGCTATAATTTTATGAAACAATTGGAAAAGGCTTTTTAAGAGCGGGAAATGAATAGTTGATATTGTTCATGTCTATTAACGGAGAACAACAAAATACAACAAGGTGTATATAGTTGGACATGAAGACTAAAAAGGACACTTGCCTCCTTGACAAGTTAGCGACAATATTACATTTTACTCGTAGAAACATACAGCACTTAGCGAACTACAAGTCCAATTTGCCGTAGAGATTCAAATTATAATATGTGTAATACCAAACCATATTTTGGGTAGGGATTCGCGATAGCGTTAAATTTGAAAAGCAAGAAGTCATACACAAACTCATACCGAGGAGAGGCCGTATCATTGTGAAACATGTGGGAAGAGTTTTTCGAAAGCGTGTTATATAAATAGGCATGAATTACTAAAAAGGCCATGACCACTATCCTGTGAAACATGTAGAAAAGAGTTTTTCAGAGTAGGTCATTTGAAAAGGATACACAATCCATGCTGTGGAGTGGCCGTACTTTTGAAAAAAGTTTGAGAAGAGAACGCAAGAGCGTGTAATTTGAAAATAAATACACAAACTCATACTCGGGAGAAGCCATACTTCTGGTAATACATTTGTGAGAGCGTTCAATTTAAATACGCGTAAACAAACTCATACTAGGGCAGTGGTGCCCAAAGTGGGTCCGTGAAGCACTTTCGGAAGGTCCGCGAAAAAAATCTGCTATGTGACTAATAGCTTGATAATACAAATATTGAGTTCCTAGATTTGCAAATACACATTTGCTGGAGACACTGATTCTGCACTTTCTGTTTTGATCACGCTGCCCAATTGTGATGTCACAAAGCTGTGGGCCTGTGATATCACAGAGAAAGTTCAATCGCAGCCAATAAAAGTTAACTAACTGCAGATGTGTAGCTGACGCTGCCTTTTTGTACGTTTGTTGGTATAGAGAGGAAGTTGCAATAGGCAGTATTTGAATTTTTGTCAGTTATCCTTTAAATGCTGATTTGCAACGAAACAAGTGATCCCATCTCACTCCGCCATATACTTTTGTTCATTTTTAGTTGTGATCACTTATTTTTTGGGTTTAGTGCACAAGGCCGGGAATCGACACAAATT